TGTGTGTGTGTGTGTGTGTGTGTGTGTGTGTGTGTGTGTGTGTGTGTCTTAATTTTAGGCCTTCTGGCTCTTGTGCTTTACTCCCTGCCCCTAACGGTAATTCCATAAGTAAGCAAATAATCCTCCCTTTTTCAAACATACGAAGATGAGATTGCAAACTTTAGAATTTAATGTCTTCCCTTTTTCTTGGTCACATTCACTTAACAGTTGAGGAAACTAAGGTTATAAGACATTAAATAACTATCTACAGATAGAGACACTAAGAGGCTTACCATTGAGATGGAAAGAAACTGGGAGTGCAGATTAAGACATAGGTCTCACTTTGTACAGAGGAGGTGAAAGCCTACTCATAAACAGCCATTCTGGTTTTAGAGATGAAAGAGGTGTAGTGAGGAATGGATTTGGAGTCATGGCCACGGCTCGACCAGGTTCTCAGCTGCTCACTGTCTAGCTGACCATAGTTTTTCAGATCTTTCACACCTGACCACCATCCCTTATCCTCCAGCTCCTGTTACTGTGGTATGTCAAATTTTAATTGTATCCACAAAAATTTGTATGTTTAACCTACCTTCTGTTGTAACTGGCAAAGAAATCTCCATGCAAGCAGCTGACTGTGCTTTTCGAAATGGTGGTCTTCCAGGACCCCAGCGATTTACTTTTGAAACATCAGCACTGGAAAGACGTTTTCCAGAACTGCAACTCTGAGAAGTTGGACTTGTGCAGTGTCCATTTACATGATCTGTACCAAGAGGAAGAAGGCAGCATAAATATCATAATTAAATCTTAATATAAAGGAATCTAAGTGTGTAGATTAATAAATGAAGAGAATTCCTTTTTTCAAAACATATAAAGATGGCTAAGTCCGTGCTATTTTAGTATTTAGTCACAATTTCAATTTTGCCAAAGTATTTAGCCAAATTTTTCATGATATTTATTAAATATAAGATTCGTTTTTAAAATTTGACTAGTTAACATAGTTTAAAATTTATTCTATGTCCTCATTATGTATTCTGCCATTTAATAGCAATACAAAATAGGTTATAGTATTAGACTTTCTTTTGCATAATTTTTTTTTTTTTTTTGCTGTATGCGGGCCTCTCACTGTTGTGGCCTCTCCCGTTGCGGAGCACAGGCTCCGGACGCGCAGGCTCAGCGGCCATGGCTCACGGGCCCAGCTGCTCCGCAGCATGTGGGATCTTCCTGGACCGGGGCACGAACCCGTGTCCCCTGCATCGGCAGGCAGACCCTCAACCACTGCGCCACCAGGGAAGCCCTGTTTTACTCTTTTTTTAAAATGAGTTAACATTTATTGAATACTTAAATGCTAGGTATTTTATACACATTATTCATTTAATCTTCACAACAACTATGCAAGGTAGGTGCTTTATTATCCTGATTTTTGCAGGTGAGGAAAATGAAGGTCAGAATAAAGGGTTCAGAAAATCATCTAATATTACATAAGTAGTATTCATGGAGACAGGATTCTAATCCAGATTTTTCTCACTTAGTGTCTGTATGCTTAAAAACTAGGCCACAGGGTCAGCTAAAATATTTGGTAAGGAGTAGCAATTTTGATGGCGTATTTCGTAGGGTTTAGGAGTAGCCTGTATAATGTACATTGAGATCCAAGCCCTTTGGGACCAGTCATCTTCCATATTAACCTAGATCTCTGAAATCAGATTTCCTGAATGGAAAGGCACAAATATCACACGATGAGTTAGCTAGGGGGAAGCAGAAGTCAAGAGCTCTAGCCCTCCTTTGCTAACAAATCTAGTCTTATAAATAGGAAGAACACTGAGGGCAATAGCTGCCAGTAACAAAGACTTAGAGTGACTACTTTGGAGGTACAAATTGCCCCCCTCTGGGCATACCAGTTAGGAAAAGTTGCCCCTTCCACAGGTGTGAAGCCTTGTTCTAGGGCTTATCCAGAGTAATGTGGGATGGATTACAGTCCTCTTCACGTTCTCTTATCTAGGTACAAAAGTATATAGCAGAGCTCTGAGAACAGTAAAATTTGTTCACTTAGCCAGGACTCTGGACTTGCTAAGCCAAGGTCCCTGCCTATCTATTACCATCATTTGGTGGCTGTTTCATGTGAATATTGTTTCATTTGAGCTCATAATAGGGCAGTATCAATTATTAGATTACTCAATATGCTGGTCTTTTTTTCCCCCTACCCACTGTATGGCCACATTTTCCCCAGCTCCTCATGATGGACTCATGAGGTCTGGCTGAAATTACTATACATGGGTAGCCCAGAGTTTTTGGCCATATTCTTCTGTTTTCAATAGGGCTGATTAACTTAAAGGATTTTTTTTGTTGTTGCTAAAAATTTTTAAATATATGGAAGTTAATTTGCTTTAATTTTTTTAAAACCACAGTAAATATTCAAGATAGATATGAGTAGATACAAAACACTTATAAAGAAATTTGGTTATAGCCCGGACACAGTCATTCTGGAAATTTATGATAAAGAAATAATGCTAAATACAAAAGAGAAACAAAAACCTCTATTGATAAAATTATTCAGTATAGTTTAAGTTATAGATAAAAATTGGAAACCAGCTCTCCTTTACAATTTAGCATAAACTTTTAGGTACACTGTGGTATATATTACATAATAGAGTATTATAATCTTTAAAAATGTTTTTGAAATGCTTGTTGAAACTTATAAAATATCTATGATGTGTTTCGCTTAGCTCTTGTTGCATAAAAACCACTCCAAATGTTAATAATGTAAAATAACAATCATTTTATTATGCTTACAGATTCTGTGGGCAAGGACTTAGACTAAGGCAAGGTGGGGATATTATATCCATGATGTCTGTGGCATTAGTCAGGAATGCTTGAATGGCTGAGGGCTTGGAATCTTTTCGAGGCTTCTTTTTTTTTTTTTTTTTTAAGAAGATGTTGGGGTTAGGAGTTTATTATTTATTTTTGCTGTGTTGGGTCTTCGTTTCTGTGTGAGGGCTTTCTCTAGTTGTGGCAAGCGGGGGCCACTCTTCATCGCGGTGCGCAGGCCTCTCACTATCGTGGCCTCTTGTTGCAGAGCACAGGCTCCAGACGCACAGGCTCAGTAGTTGTGGCTCACAGGCCCAGTTGCTCCGTGGCATGTGGGATCTTCCCAGACCAGGGCTCGAACCCGTGTCCCCTGCATTAGCAGGCAGATTCTCAACCACTGCGCCACCAGGGAAGCCCCTTTTGGAGGCTTCTTTACTCACATGGCCTGGGCTAGAATGATGCAAAGGTTGAGCTCAGTTGGGACTGTCAATGGTGCCTTCTTTAGAAGGCTTGGGCTTCCTCATAGCATGGTGGCCATTTTTACATAGTGGCTCAGGGCTTCAAAATGTCTGGCAAGTGATTTTGAAAATGGGATGGAAGCAATATTTATGTTGCTTTGGTGTTATTGCAATGGAGATTTTACTTTGTTTTGTTTTTGGAAGCAACATTCCAGTGTCCAGTCACAAGCTTTCTGTATGTCAAGAGGCAGTTGTAGTAGAATGCTGATCTTATAACAATGTGCTCTTCAGTTCAACAATTGATTGGCAGTAGTCTTCTGATTCTGTTTCTAACAGTAGCAAAGTTGTCTGCTTCCCTGGTATGTCTGTTTGGTGGCCTTATTCTGAAAGTCATACCTGTAGGCCAAGCTTAGAGTTTACGTCTCCATCTTTCAATGACTTGATAAGCACCTAGTTTCTTGTATTAAGTCACTTTCTGCATAATATAAATGGAATGGTTTGTTTCCTACAACTGCTTCCTGATTACAATGATGTTTTATCTCAGCTGTAGTGCTCTATGCCATTTAGAGAAAATTCAACATTCTAAAAAATTCAACCTTAAAACAATAAGCAGATTAGAGCAAATGGGAAATTGTTATTCTTTATTTTACAGAAAGATTCTCAAATCTAAAAAAATTACAAGTTTCTTTAAATTAGCTGATTCTCTTGTATCTTTAAATCAGTATTTGATTTATTGTATATATTATATAGAGTAAGGTACAATAGTGATTTATTGAAAAATGGCTTATTGACTCCAGTTGAAATTGTTTTTAACATAGTCCTTGACAAAGCTTTATAGTAGTATGTAAATGAAGATTTAATACTTGATACACTAGTCTTGTTAAACTTTTTAATATACCATACGATTCCTAGAAAATGAAAATTAGTATTATGCCTATGCCACAGAGGGTGATTCTATGGTGAAATAAATGTTCAACATAATACTAAATCAAAATAAGTATTGGATTTTAAAATTCATGAAAACAAATGAAATAAAAAGGCTTTGCTTTGAACTATATAAAATGTTGCCAGTATCAAACAGTTAAAATATATGAAAACCCACATAACTTTACCCTTGCTTACTTTTATAGTTCAGAGGTAACTCTTCTTTCCCTCCCTCCCTTATTATTTTTTTTGATTTGAATTTTATTTTATTTTTTTATACAGTAGGTTCTTATTATCTATTTTATACATATTAGTGTATATATGTCAATCCCAATCTCCCAGTTCATCACACCAGCACCCCAATACCTTTGCCCATTTTTTAAATCAGATTGTTTGATTTTTGTTACTGAGTTGTATGACCTCTTTATACAGTTTGAATATTATCCCTTATAAGATATATGATTTGCAAATATTTTCTCCCATTCTGTAGGGTGACTTTTCATTTATTGATGGTTTCATTTGTTGTGCAGAAGCTTTTTTAGTTTGATGTAGTTTAATTTTGCTTTTAGTGTCAAATCCAAAAAAAATAATGCTAAGACTGATGTCAAAGAGCATATTGCCTATGTTTTCTTCTAGAAGTTTTAAGGTTTCAGGTCTTACATTCAAGTCTTTAATCCATTTTGAGTTGCTTTTCTGTATGGTGTAAAACAGAGGTTAAGTTTCATTCTTTTGCATGTGGCTGTCCAGTTTTCCCAGCACCAGAATATTTTGAAAGAGAATACTTTCCCTATTGTATACTCTTGGCTTCTTTGTTGTAAATCAATTGACGATATATGCATAAATTTATTTCTGGGGTCTCTCTTCTGTTCCATTGATCTGTGTCTGTTTTTGTGCCAATACCATATTGTTTTGATTGCTATAACTTTGAAACAGTTTGAAACCAGAAAATGTGATGCCTCTAGCTTTGTTCTTCTTTCTCAAGATTGCTTTGACTCTTTGGGGTCCTTCGTGGTTCCATACAAATTTTAGGATTGTTCTATTTCTGTGAAAAATACCACTGGAATTTTCATAGGGGGTTGCATTAAATCTGTATGGACGTTTAAAAAATATTAGTTCTTCCAATCCATGAGCACAGAATATCTTTCCATTTATTTGTGTTTTATTCAGTTTCTTTCACTAACATCTTATTTTCAGTGTCTAGATCTTTCAACTCCCCAGTAAAATCTATTCCTGGATATTTTATTCTTTTCTTAATTTCTCTGATAATTTGTTGTTGGTGTATAGAAAGGTAATTGACTTTTTTGTTTGTTTGTTGCGGTATGCGGGCCTCTCACTGTTGTGGCCTCTCCCATTGTGGAGCACAGGCTCCAGACGCGCAGGCTCAGCGGCCATGACTCACGGGCCCAGACGCTCTGCGGCATGTGGGATCTTCCCGGACTGGGGCACGAACCCGTGTCCCCTGCATCGGCAGGCGGACTCTCAACTACTGCACCACCAGGGAAGCTGGGCAATTGACTTTTTTAAATTTTTTTTTTGGTACGCGGGCCTCTCACTGTTGTGGCCTCTCCCGTTGCGG